CATCTTTCTAAAGGAGCAGTTAGCGATGTGTGAGACTTGCTAGTTGCTTTTATATATTTAGACATTTTGTTTATTCTATACAAAAATACATACAAGGACCAAATTAGAACTAAAAAGCCCAAAGTTGGGCTCAAGTGAAAAGACATGCAAGGTTTGCTATTTTTGTATTCTAATTAGAGAAATTAGTTTTAGCTACTGTCAAAATGATCCATGTGATATTTAAAAATCAGACCCTTGGTTTACAAAGATGCCTTAAGAGCAATTAAAAACACATGCAGATATTCTTGATAGTGACCATTTACTTAAAGGCAATCAGCAGCAGTTCCTTGGAGAAGTTAAACATGAATCTGTTTTTTTTAATAGCATGCAGAAAGCTCATTGCAATTACTAAATATATATACTCAACAAAGTACAGTACGCAAAGCAATTGTTAGAATTGCATAGCTATTGTCAGTTAAGTTTCTTAATGATCACTATGCATAGTGAGAGCATGAAAAGAGATACAGAAAAATAAAAATTGGTTAATCAAATTAAAGTATGCATTTTTCACTTATTCAGAATTGTTAAAAATCAAATACACTCTCATTTATCCAAATGCCCCGGGGGACAGAGGTGATGCTAGCCCATTGGGGGCCCTAAGCAGAAATTGTTTTGGCCCCCACGCCAACACAAACTAAAAAAGCAAATGGGGGCTCCCTTGAGCTGCTCAGGACCCTAAGCAATTGCGTATTGCTGCTTATGCCTGGAGCCAGCTCTTCTGGACAATATCCAAAACTTTTAGATAACTAGGCATTTGGATAAATGGAAGTGTTATTAACTAACTTAGGACTACATGGGGGGAACTGTGTGGATTTGGATAAATAGTATTTTCAGATAACTGGAAGTATACTATACTACTTTCTGTTTGGATGTGCAGCTGAAGGCAAGCCCAGTTGTTCCCTGTGAAACAATATTTTTGGTTCTCCCTCTTAATATAAATACTTAAAAAATCTGTATTAAGGTAAGGCCACAATCTGCTTTCAGAGACGTGTGAAATTCCTATAGACTTCATTAGGAGTCAGTGTGAGGTGGGGGGGGAGGCAAAATTTGCCCCCAAAATGCTTATCTAAATCTATATTCAGCTAGATAAAGAAGGTGAGTTAATAATACCTTTTCAGAGAAAGCACCATTTAATTTAAAACAAATCGTTTTAACTAAATCTTCCATAACTAATTTTGAAATTAAGAACTTCCTCTGCGTTCCGGATGGTGTATGCTTAATGAATGGTCTCTGGTAAAGCCTTGGTAAGAATTAGGCTAATGTCTTTGCCAGGGCAGGACCTCTCAATGTAGTTCTAACAGGTTTAACACTACAGTGTTTCTGGGGTTGGTCTGGCTTCCTAGATACTTATGGTGCTCTTTGGCAAATTCGCCTCATGAATTGTTTCTACTAGAGACGACTGGAACATAAACCCTGACCCTTTCTGGAAACTAGGACTTCCAGTGCTAGCTGGCTTGGGGATGTGAATCTTCCTGGGAGATGGGTGAAAGCAGGATATGTGGTCTCTGTGGATCTTGCTGGGAGATTTGAAGTTGGGAGATTGTTCAAGAAAATGGACCAATCATTAGTGGGCTACAAATTAATCTAGAGCCTTTAAGTTCAAAAAGTCTACCCACCCAACTCTTCTTCAGTCTACACAATTCTCAGGCAGAGATTGGAGAAGCTACCATTTTTATGGTACTATGGCACAGTGCAAATATTGCATTTTGAGCTTTGTAATGATAAACTACATATTAAGAGAAAAATGCTAGCTTATTAAAAGGAGTCTATAGACTATCTCCCAGAAAGCTATAAATAAGTGTCATCGCTAATAATTATATATTGCTTATTAAATAACCTGCAGTTATGCCCACAGTTTTGATAGAAACTGAAATCAGAAGTTCATATTAAGAGCGAACTCTCCAACAAATGATCATGTCAGCAATAGCGCTATCTTGTAAACTTGTCATGTAAACAAAGCTGTAAATTGTGAATTATCTCTTATTCAAATTATTCAATACATTTATATGAAAGACTTCCATTAATTTTAATGGGAGCTGGATCAGGATCTTCATGCATTTAAAAATAATTAGATAACTAGTGAGTTTACGTTGTGAATTGCCCATATTCAAATTAATAAGTACAAGTCACAGTTCAAGCCAGGGCTCTTTCTATCTAATTTCTTTCGTGTTAATTCAGAGAAAGTTATTCCCCACTTGGATGCCTTTAACGTTTAAAAAGACACAGTAAAACAATACATGGGAAATCCTGTTTATGTGCAAATGTAGCTGCACGTTTGCTAGCACACACATAACAGCCAGGTGCCTCTTAGATATTAAAAGTGTATATCAGGGATTGAAAGTGAATCCTCCTGATCCCTCTTCCCTTATGATTCTTATTTCACTCAGGTCCCTGAGAGTCCTTTGACATTTTCACCTATTCATTGAGGCTCTCCATTGTGGCCATTGTTCTTCTAGATGTAGTCACCATCTCCTTTAAAAAGCCACAACTCTGAAGGGTGCATTCCTATGTAATGAATATTTTTATCAGGATTTTAATTCAATCTGCTCAAATGTTTTTCTTCGTTTATTCTTTTCCTAGTCATTTACATCTCTATGGCAGGTGCCCACAAAACTAGGCATATCAAACCCACAGGGCTTTTAAGTCTATTCAACTTACAGGCTGAAGAAAGTATTTATCTTGCTTTACAAAAAACAAAACAAAAATCCCTTGCCTTGCCATATACACCATTTACCAAAAGCTTAAGGCATTTAAGGTTTTAAATTCTGCTTCATTATTCTCGGTCCCTCATGCATGCTACATCATCAGATATCCTTGCTCTGATGCTACTTCATACATACACAAGAGCCCTAACATAGAATTTAAAAGTTTTCTCTTTATTTTAGTTAGGTTTAAGATATGTGAGATAACATTAGAAACACATCTTACTATGTTTCACTTTCCCTTAGGCTTTTAAGGTAAATTCCAGTGTAGCAAATGTTTTGTAACCAGTTTCATTACCAGACATTCTCTTGTATCTTGAGGCAGTGACACAGGGTAGCTGACTGGCCTACATGATGATGTTGTGTTTTTGTCCCTTCACCTCTGGAGATTATTTCCCCCCTTTCATTTCCCAGTAGGTGCTTCTAAATAGCTTGTACAGCAGTTAAAGCAGCAGGATGGTTTTCCTGGTAAGTATTGATTCTGTTCTAAGGATTAGCAATGCAGAGTCCTTAAAGTGACTATAAGAAAATGCTATTTTTACACTCAACAAAATGCTTGTTGTGCATTCAGAGTCTTATCTGCTGACTTGAATGATAAAAATACGTCTTTTACAGCTTTTTTTCTCCTGTTAGAATTGTAGAGCCAATGCTGAGGTAGAACACCTTTTTAGAGAAAGCACCATTTAATTGATAGCAAATCTGCTTTAACTAAATCTTCTTCCATAACCAGTCGTAAAATTAAGAGCCCTCTTCTGCCTTCCAGATGGTGCGTATGTGTGTGTGTGTGTGTATTTATATATATATATGAGAGAGATCTATATCTATATCTTTAATAAGCTTTAGTAAGAGTTAAGCTAATGTCTTTGCCAGGTCAGACCCTCTCAGTGTAGTTCTAACCCCACTTCCGCATTCCATTGAGCACCTGCTTAACTTTAGACATGTACTGTAGTCCCATTAACAAACGTAAGTACATAGCTGAATAGAGAGACGTAAACGTGTGCTTAAATACTTTGCTGATTCGGGATTTGTAGCTGGTAGTATTTGTACAATTGGGCTCTGACAGAGTGGACCAGATCTTTTCCAACTTGTTCATTATCAAGGAAATTGTTTACCAAGGCCCAGTCTACATGTACAGTTGCACTGGTAGTTTTAAAACGGATGTAGCTAAAACGGTGGAACTTATGCTGTGGACACTCTTAGCTTGGTTTAAACCTGGCTGTTTGGCTTGCAGAGGTGCAAGCTAAACTGACATAAACCAGATTTAAATCTTTGAGTGTCTGCACAAAGGTACTCTTAACTTGGTTTAATAGTGGCTTATTTTGGTTCATCTTAAACCCGTTCCTAACTGACTTAAGATCAACCAAAATAAGCCAATAGTAAACCAAAATAAGTGTGTACATTAGGGTTTGCACCAGTACAACTGAACTTGTTTAATGAAACCACTGCAAGTTTGTGTAGACAAGGCTTAAATTGAACTTAAACTGATTTAAGTTACAAAACTGCAATTTCTCTGTGTAGACAAGTGCTAAATTCTAATCAGTTATACATGTGCAAGCACACTGAATAATAATACCAACTTGGTGCTTAAAACTGAAGGACATGGTGATGAGAGGAACTCTGCAAATCTTTTAAAAGTGCAGTTCCAGTGTGATAATAAATCTGTAAAAAAAGACACTGTGGGGAATCCAGACTTATCTCCTTCTGATTTCCATGACAGAGATGCTCAGTTTAGAGGTTAAAAAAAATGTTTTATCTAGCTGCCAGCTCTGACAACTCGACCAAGGCTGAGACCCATGCTAGTACATTCCTTGATTTTTGACACACGAGGCTACATTCAAATCCTTGTAAATATCTTTTAACTTACCGGTTGTTAATAAAATAGAATGACAGTTTATTCTGGAATCTGTGCATTAACACACATGCCAGATAGTTTTCTAAAATACTACTCAAAACCAGTTACCGCACATATGCACTGTCCAACTTTTAAAACTTGACTCCATAGTCACTTACTTCTTTAACATATAGTGATTAGACTGTCTTTGAGTAATTGTTTGTCACATTACATTTTTTAATCAAGACCATAAGGGTTTTTAATGGAGCCCTAACATAATTTTATAGCACGTGAAATGGCATAGTCTGATATTGTGGGAATGAAAATCTGAAACCTTATGCTCTTATGTTCTATGTTTTATACCATATTACTAAAAGATGAGCTGATTGTGAGGAATGAATACTGTCTGCCTGTTTCTTTCAAAATAGGAAGAATATTCTTCGATTTTTGGATGCTGAAAGAGATGTCTCAGTGGTCAAAAGCAGCTTCAAGCCAGGAGACGTAATTCATTATGTGCTAGACAGACGTCGCACCCTGAACATTTCTCAGGATTTGCATAGCCTCCTTCCTGAAGTTTCACCAATGAAGAACCGTCGGTTTAAAACATGTGCAGTTGTGGGCAATTCTGGCATCCTCCTGGACAGTGAATGTGGAAAGGAGATTGACAACCATGACTTTGTAATAAGGTGAGCTTTCATCTGCAGCTGGGGATTATAGCCTGCTATCTGTCACTTTGGGGGGGGTGTGAGGAAACAGGCAGAAATGCTTTAACCTGAGAGATCAATTTCAGGGATTATTTGGAATTACTGAGTAATTTATCTGAAGTGATATTTTCACTGTGATACCTAAATTTAAATACATTTTTGGTATGCAAAAAACAAGATTACTTCTATATTGAAAATGAGAGGTGTGCACATTTGGAGATAGAAGACAGATTCACATTGCTCATTGCCCGTGTTTGTTCATTTGTGTTATTCCAGATACAATCATTACTCTGAATGAAGAGTTATTCCTGTAAATGGAAATTTTTTTTTCCAAAATCTCTCTTCCTGTCTCTTGGCGAGTAGTCGTGGCCTAGCAGTAAATTACTGAATTACTTTATATACGGGGGGGGAGCAAAATTTCATTGTGATGCATTGGAATTTAGTCAGATGGCTTCAGGTAAGGTAACTGAAAGCCACACACCTCACTCACTTCACATTGCTCTGAAAATATATCCCCACAGCAGGTACCAAAAGTTTCATATAATTTATTTTTTTTAGTGTAGATATTCAAACATGCTCAACCTCAACAAAATTTTGTCTTAGGACTTCACAGATCAGGGGCAAATTAAGAGCAGTTACTGCCGCCATTTGACAAGCTGTCATGATATTAACATACATAGATAGATTTAGACAAAAAAGATACTCTGCTTTTTAGGCAAAGTCTCTATTGGTATGGAACAAGGAGGGCTTAATGGTGGTGATAGAGAATTACTATATATGTAGGGTTAGCTCACATCACTGCTCCTGTTCCGGTTTTTCATAGAATCATAGAATATCAGAGTTGGAAGGGACCTCAAGAGGTCATCTAGTCCAACCCCCTGCTCAAAGCAGGACCAATTCCCAGCTAAATCATCCCAGCCAGGGCTTTGTCAAGCCGGGCCTTAAAAACCTCCAAGGAAGGAGACTCCACCACCTCCCTAGGTAACGCATTCCAGTGTTTCACCACCCTCCTAGTGAATAGTTTTCCTTCTTGTAGTGTGGGGCCCAAAACTGGACACAGTATTCCAGATGAGGCCTCACCAATGTCGAAT